CACAGCTTTGGGGGACGGTCACCGGAGGAGCAGTGTCATCTGGATGCCTGGAAGTGGACGATGCTCCTCCTCTTGCATCACTCATGAGAATCACCTTCTCGATGCTGACAGTTCCTGCGAGGCTCCGTGGTTAACGTTTTCCACCCAGAAACGGGCTTGTTCTTCTCCAGCGTCGGTCTCCTGTCCACACGTGTCCGCGCCTCCACAGAGCAGCAGGAGGCCCCTCCGGCGCTTGCGAACCTTCCGGTTTTCCTGCCTGGTCCATTTAGCGCAGCTGTTAGGGGCGGCGGGAGCCGACCCAGTGTGGAGTTCTTCACCAACAGTGGTTGAGAGTATCTGGTGGCCATTTCCAAAACTTTGTTGTTTCTGACGTTTCCCAAATCTCCTGCTGACTTAGGCTCCTGGAAGGTTTGGTCAAGGCCTGCAGGCACGAGTCCGCCCAGGGGCCACAGGCCGTAGGACTGCGCAGTCCTCCTGATTTAAATTTGTGATGTGGAGCCTTATGAAATAGGTTTCTTTCATCTAAATACACTAAATCCTTATTTTCCATGGTCTCCATGCTCACTTACCCTCCAGAAGGGTAGTGACGCATGATTTTTCCCATATACACAGAATGTAGGGTTTTCCCCCCGTAACTGACCTGTGCAAACGTGTTCTGTGGTCCGACTTTGTGCAAAGTCACAGTTTTCTAATGGGCCCCACAGGAAAGAGTCCTAAGGCTGACAGGTCCACTTCTAAGAGGACACTGAGGTTTGCCTGAAGGAGCAGCATTGGGGCTCGTGGGTTAAATGCACCGAAAGCCCCATCTCTGCCCTTGGGCCTCGAGGAAACCGGAGCAGCCTGGCAGAGAGGTCACTAACTCTACCCCTCCCGTCTCTCCGTCTCTGCATCCGTGGACTCCAGGCACGCCAGGTGATGGAAAGAGAGTTCAACAACCTGTTGGCCTTGGGCACAGACCGGAAGCTGGATGATGTGAGTCCTTGGCTGTGAGTTAGGGGCCCTCGGGGTTTGGGCACGGGTGGTTCATTGGGTTGAAATTCCTGAGCTGTGCTTTCCTTGGGCCGAAGATTGGTGGCCGAAGGGAGGAAGCTGGGGGGGATTGGGATGATGGTGGGGAGGCGCAGGGGCAGGCCTGGCAATAGGCCTAGAGACGTCTCATGAAATTGCTCGCACAAAAACCAAAGGCTCCTGTGTGTCACGCGTCTGGCGTCTTCCAACTCTGTGCCCCGCCGCCCTCCTAGCCACGCAGGGTCACGGGTGCCCCACAGAGGCCACCGCTTTGAGATCACGCCTTTTTCTTAATTTCCGCCCCCATGTCTCAGTGCTCTTGGCACCGCACGGCTCCAGCCTGCTTATCAGGACGCCCGTGCTGTGGGAGCGTGCTGGCTCGTGGGGTGGCGTCCGGCCGAGGCCCTGCAGTGACCGGCCTGCCTGCTCGCGCCGGGGCATGCGGCTCAGACGTATGAGCAGCGCGCGGCTTCCTCCCTGGTTGTACTCTTGGGTTAGCTTCAAGCCACGTTAAGGTTCTCCTCTCCTGACCCCCTGGTCAACGAAAGACCGGCCTTTCCCCTGGGTTTCGTGGGGCCTTTCCCTGAGTTTAGGCTGGACTGTGTCCAGGAGGACCTGGGAGGCCCTGGGCCTGTCCCCCGAGGATGCAGCCCTTTCCTTGGCCCTCCTCCCTCCGCTCCCTCCCTCCGCTCCCTTCTCACTTTCCCATCACCAGCCTCGTCTACCTTTGCGTATCAGGTCAGCCTCGGCCCCCTGGGCTCCAAACAAGTCAAAAAAGAGCCCGGATTATTTATTTTTAGCGTCTCCAGCTTCAATCAGGTCTGTTTCTTCTGATCTCCGTGGTCTATGTAGCTTCCCTTTCTGCACACCCTGCCCTGCCCAGCGCCGCTGTTTGGACTTTGGGGCCTGCTTGGGGGACACCGTCAGTGCTACCGACCTGTTAGTCTTTCTTAGCCGGGCTTAACAGGGCTAACGTGCCCCTCCGTGCACCAGCCGTTCTGCTTCAGCAGACCAGACACACGCGGGAACACACAGAATTCGTGGAGGGGTGTTTTCTTCAGAGGTACCTTGAAATTTGGACTGTGATCTTCACACACGCGTGCGATATACGTGCGTGCATGAGTGTGGCCGTACCGGCTGCCCCCGGTCTCAGAGATCTGGATTTCCCAGTGCCCCTGCCATGTGGACCCTCCTCTCACTCGCCCCCACACCTAGGAGCTTGGTTTTCTTGATGCTGCTTAGAAAAATGACTCCCATGGATCTTAGCGTGGTGCTTTCTAATTAGAAAGCTACATATCCCTTCAATCCTTACAAAAATATTCTTCGAAGGCCCACTCAGGGCCAGGCATTGGCCCAGGCATGGGGTAGAGCGGTGGCCGACGTCCTTTACGCGTCACGTGGACCAGGTCATGATCCCACCTGACGGGCTGATGAGGGACTAAGCCCACAGGGGACTTGCGTGTGCCACAGGCTGATGTGCAGCAGAGCAGGGACGGAACAGAACCGCCTCTGGTTCCTGTTCTCTCCCTGACACCCTGCTGTCCCCTCGGAGCACGCAGGGCTAGCCAGCCTCTCAGGCTTCGGCCCTCGGGTGGGGTTACTGAGGCGATGATGTCCTCGATGATGTCATCTCGACAGCACAGCGGACTTCCGGGATGCAGCGAGGTGCGGGCTGCAGAGGACTGGTTCTTGCAGGAAGCTCACAGAAAGGCCAGGTTCTGGGAACGAGGTGGGGTTTGGTGGTGGTGGCGGGCACAGTGCGGGTCAGAGCTCCGGGGAGATGCTTCCTGTCTGGCCGTCTAGCGCAGCGTCAGCAACCGTGAGCTGACTCCAGCTGCTTCCTCTTTCAGTCCTAGGTTCTCAGTTTCCCCTCTCCGGCTTCAAGGCCCCGGAGGCTTGCACAGTAGGCTCCCTCTTGAGGGAGAAGAGGACAAGTGATAGGGTCGGCTGAAGGTGGAAATGGGGGGGAGCAGGGAGGGAGAGAGGAAGGGACAGCAGTCTGGGTTGGGTTGAGGGCAGGATCCTGGAACGAAAGAAACGATGAGGAAAGTTCCTGATGAACTCATGGATGGGAAGCCTGCGGAGGAAACCAGCTGCCATCCGTTCCTTCAACAGCCATTTATTGAGCCCTACAGTGTCCCCAAGCACTACCTTAGGGGCTGGGGATATGTCGGTCGGAACAAAAAAGATCCTCGTCTCGGTCCTGTGGAGCACAGAATTTGAAAGTCAGCGAGAGTTGAGGGAGTGGGGTGGAGGGACGTGGAGAGAGAGCTCAGGGAAATAACCTCCTAAGCACAGGAAAACACGATGCTACGGTGTGCGGTGCGTGCCGGACCTGGTGCCAGGAGTCATAGGGGCCTTTGGCCTCGGGGCTGGGCAGGGCTGCAGGGCCCTTGCGCCTCTGGCAGCTCTCTGCACTGGTTCTGAGAACACGGGTGGGTCTCCATTGGGGTCGGGGCATGGGGAGATGAGGCACGGCTGCCAAGCAGGGTGGGAGTGGGCTCTGCAGGGTGGGGAGGGGGCCGTGCACAGGGCTCTGCAGGGCGGGAGGGGACCGTGCAGAGGGTGGGGAGGTGGCCGTGCAGAAGGGGGGGAAGGGGGCTGTGCATAGGGCTCTGCAGGGCGGGAGGGGGCCGTGCACAGGGCTATGCAGGGCGGGAGGGGGCCGTGCAGAGGGTGGGGAGGTGGCCGTGCAGAAGGGGGGGAAGGGGCTGTGCATAGGGCTCTGCAGGGCGGGAGGGGGCCGTGCACACGGCCATCCCGCAGGCCAGGGCTCTGGGTGCCCTTTGGCAGATGGTTTAGAGGCGCTGGCAGGCGGCAGAGGGCTGCCCACCTCCTCTCCCTCTGGATGAGCCTGGTCCCACGGCCTCGCACCTGACCCCTCACAGGTGCTCTCACCTGGTCCTCTGAGGCCGGGCAGCCCGGGAAGGGGCGGGGGAAGCAGTAGAGAAAAGCCACTTCATGGGGAGGCTCAGAGCGGCCCCTTAACTCACCCGAGCTGGCTGGTCAGACAGTGGCGGGCGCCCGGGGCCTGGGCCTGGGGTCGCGGGGCAGCAGGGCAGCCGCAGTGGAGGGGGCATCCCTGGGCGGCGGGGACCCCCACCTGGACCACGACTTCATCCTACAGACCCTGCAGGGGCGTGGGCGGGGACTGAGCCCCCGTGTCCCCATAGGGCGAGGACAAGGTGTTCCGCCGAGCACCGTCCTGGAGGAAGCGCTTCCGGCCCCGGGAGCCGCACGGCCTGCTCGGCGCCTCGGCAGAGACGCTCCCCGCCGCCTTCCGCGTGGCCACCCTGGGGCCCCTGCAGCCCCCTGCCGCGCCGCCTCCCAAGGTCACGCCAGAGGGTGAGTGATGGGCCTCGAGGCCTGTGGGTGCCGCTGCACTAACGCTGCCCCCGGGCCGGCGGGCGGGGGCGGGCGGGGGCGGGCCCACCCCACCCGTCCTTGACCCCCACCCCACCCTGACCCCCACCCTGACCCTGACCCCCACCCCGGCCCCCACCCCGACCCCCACCTGACCCCAACCCGGACCCCAACCCGACCCCCACCCCAAACCCCACCCCGAACCCCACCACGACCCCGACCCCCACCTGACCCTGACCCGATACCCACCCCAACCTTGACCCCTACCCCGACATCAACCCCATCCCGGACCCCACCCCGACACCAACCCGACCCCCACCTGACGCCACCCCCACCCCCACCCCGACCCCGAGTGTGCCCACTAACCGCCGCTCTGTGTTCTCCCAGCCGGGACGGCGGGGGCGCCCAGGCTGGAGGCCTCCACGGTCCGGACCTACTCCTGCTGACCCCCCCTCCCGCCCCGGCCCCCGCGGGGTGTGCCCGAGGCGCGGGGTAAGTGGGCAGCCCGGGCCACACGCCGCCGCCCCCTCCCCCGCCGGCCCCTGCTCGCTGCTGCTTCCCCCGCAATCTCCCCCCCACGTGCAGCCTGCCCCCTCCCGTCCCCGCTCGCTGTCGCCGCCCCCGCCTGGCACCTGCTTGCAAGCTGGGCACGTGCACCTGCGCCCGGGAGGAGGCTCCGCTCACCACGCAATGCCCCTCTCTCTCTCTCTCTCTCTCTCTCTCAGCTCGCTCCCACTATCTCTACGGTCACATGCTCTCCGCCTTCCGGGACTAGCCACGGTCGTGGCCTGTCCCCACTGGGGTCCCCAGGCCCAGCTGGCCCAGCCCTCCCGCCGTTCCAGTCCTGCCGCGGCCCCCAGTCTCCGTGACTCCAGCGGCCCTGGATCTCAGAACTCCCTGGACCCCCTTGGCCTCCCACCCCCGTGCCCCCTCCGTAAGTCTCTCGTGGCCGTGGCTGGCGTCCGGCTCGTCCCTGCTGGGGATTTCTGCAGAAGGCGCAGGACGCAGAGGCCCAGGGCGGGCGTGACCTCACCCTCCCTCTGGGCCTAGCCTGGCCTGAACTGCGACCCCACCGGAGACCGGGACCTGTGGCAGGCCCGGGGACGGCCCTCCAGGCGCTGCCTTGCTCAGGCTCTGGGGCCTTCGGGTCCCAGGCACGTCCCAGCTGCGGAACCCCCGGTTCTGGCGCTCCCGGCCTTCCCCGTCTGTCCACAGGGCAGCTCCTGGCTCCAGGACCTCCCTGGGGCCCGGCTGGGAGGGGCTGCGGAAGGGCGGTGAGGCTGGGGCAGGAAGGCTAAGCGGGGACTCCAGGCGCATGCCCAGGATCCATCCCCAACGTGACCTGGGGGCGAATCGGAGAGAAATGGGGCCCTGAGTTCTGAGCCAAGGTTAAGGATGGGGAACCCGTGAGGCCTCCCGCCCAGTGAGAGGTGCCGCCCGCTGGAGGGCGAGCCGGTGGCCTGTGTCCACCTCAGGCCTAGACTGCAGGGGACCCGCAGGTGGAGCTGCCGCTTGGGGCGGGGCTGGGGCTTGCGTGGGGGCTTGGCTCTGGGGCAAGGGAGCTACCCCACAGAGCCTACTCTGCTCCTGGGTTCCCGCCCCTGCCCCACCCCTTTAGTAACCCAGCCCCTAAAAATCTACGTTGACCTTGAACCAGGTCTGGGAGAGGTGGCCTGAGGCTCTGTTCCCCTGGTCTCTCGGGAGGAGGCCAGGCGTCCCCTTCAGCGAGCCCCAGCCCAGGTCCAGGAAGCGCAGTTGCTCCAGGCCGTCGCTCTCCCGCCTGGCCCTAAATCACCCACCCCTCGTTCAGGGCTCTTTGGGGGCAGGGACTGCCTCCTCCAGAAATTCCTGAGACCCCCCCCAACTCCCGTCCTTTTCATCGCTTTCCCCAGCAGCACGGTGGCGTCCAGGGCTGGGGGTCCAGGTCCCAGCGTGCTCGGAACGTCACGCCCAAGAAACCCCTCTTCCTTCCCCACCTCCTCATCTTGCCAGAATGCCTGGAAGTGTTTGGGACCCAGGTTCGGGGGGAGCTGATGGGACCCAGGGCTTCACCCTAGTGAGAGGAGAGGAAAGGGGCTGGAGCCTGCTTCCGGGGAGGTGCCAGGGCCGCGCTGTCCTCCAGGCGGCCGAGCAGCTGGTGTGCAACCCGATCGACTTGGGTTCGAGCAGGGGCTTGGCTAGCAGGTGGGAGGGTGGGCCAGAGCCCCGCAGAGCCGGGGCAGTGCCAGGGCGCGGAGCCCCCTGCTCCTTCTCAGTAGAGGAGGGGTGGCCCCGGGGTGGGGCCGAGCGGGCTACCCTCCCCGTCCTCGCCCTCCCTGCCCCTCAGGCTGCTGCAAGTGCAGCTGCTCATTCTTGAGCAGAGAACGTGGTGGATGGAGAGAGAAGGCCCCTCCCCGGGTGGTGGACGTGAGGCTCCTGAGACCCTGGGGGTGGGGCCACAGGGCTGCCTAGCTGCAGCAGGGGACACTTGATGGCCGAGTGGGAGATCCAGTCCGGCTTCTCCGGCACGCTTGGCCTTGGCCCCGGCCCCGTCATGGTCGGCCACGTGCCTGGGTCCTTTCAGGGTGACTTGGGAGGGGCCGCAGGGCGGTGGCGGTTGGGAGAACCCGTGTGTGCCGCGATGGGAGGCTGCAGCTTGGTGTGCCCCTCACCCCACAGTCCGTGTAGTTTTTACTTGGAGACTCGCCAGTGACCCGAACCCCCATCGCCAGCCCCCTGTGTCCTGCCGGTCCCCTTCTCAGTACTGTACTGGCTCCGCGCGCCAGGGCTGGGGTGTGGGGTGTGAGTGTGAGCGTGGCTGTGTACGTACCAATAAACAACCTGGGTTTAAAACAACCTACACACGGCTCTGGGCCTTTTTTTTTCTTTTTCTTTTTTTTTTTTTTTTTGACTTTAGAGTCCAGCCTCTTCCACGGTGGGAAGGGCTGCTCTCCTCTGGGAAGCAAACACCCGGGTTTAGGGTTCAGAAGGAGCACAGCAGCCGGTTTACTTACAGGACCAGGGGATGGAGGAGGGTTGGTGTTTGGGTTGCTTGTGCCAAGGGAGTCAAGGAAAAGGAGGAGGAGCCCCGGAGCCAAGCCAGGCTTCCTGTATTCCCCTCTGCCTTTCTGGGGCCTGGCCCAGCTCCGCCCACCCCATGGCCTCCCCGAGGCTCCCTGGGCATCAGCTCAGATAGCCCCTTGCTCTCACTGCAGCAGCCCCGGCGCCCGCGAACACAGGCCCTCCTCCCCCGAGACTCGGCCCCGGTGCCCCTCGCCCGTCTCAGTCCCCCGGGCTCAGTGGGGTGGCCAGCCCCATCCCCAGGAGGCAGAAGGGAACCTCTTGCCTTTGCAGCCGCGAACCTCCCAGACCCATCTGGAGCATCACCTGGGAGGCATGCCCAGCCTCCCCGCAGAATTAGATAAGCGGCGACTGCTCCCTGGGACCTGCACCCTCCCGTGCCGGGTGCCCTTTCTGCTTGTGAGGGAGCCCCTTGGGTCTGTCGTGTTGGTCTCCAGGTCCCCGGGTGGACACACGTGAGTGAGCAAACGAATGAGCCTTATCTCACGAGTGTCACGAGGGTTATTATTACGTAAAGTAGAAGTCACCAGGAACTACTGGGCGCCGGGCACGGTTGAAGCGCTCGACGTGTCGGCTCGGGCAACGCTCGTGGCCCTTGACGTGTTCTCCCCTTAGCTTGCGGGACACGAGTCGTGAGGCCAAGTGCACACGGCTGGTTGGAGACATGCAGGTTCCAGAGCCAGGTCTTCGGCTGCAACTGCGAGGCTTGTCCTCCCTGACGCCAGGACTGCCTGCGGGGGCGGCTGCTCCCCTCCCGAGTGAGCGCGAGCCCCCAGCTCCCCCCCAAACCCACACTCTTGTGGTACTTGGTTCCTGTGACCCTCGGACTCGGTTTCCTCTGCTCACTTAAACCGCGGCCTCCTGGAGGGCAGCTTAACACACCGTATCCTCTCCAAGGCGACCACTGCCCCCAACACTGGAGGTACAGGATGCGGGGTCCCCGGCTCCGGTGCCGGCGGCAGCCACACAGGCACCTGCAAGCCTGGAAGGGCACCGAGAGGGAAGGTGCAGCCTAGTGCCTCCAAGCCTCTGGGGGGCTCCCACCTGCCCCGTGACCAAAGGTGGAAGTGACCAGGCTCGGTGATGAGCTACAAGACGGGACACAGAAGGATTCACAAAAACTTTTTTTTTGGATTGAAAACCGTTTCCCAGTGTTGCCATCCACTGGGACGGGGAATGGGGAAGGGATAAGCTTATGTGCAAATGGGAGTCGTTGTAGAGACGCTGAACTTGAGGGGAGACCCCCAACATCAAGCTCCGTCCGCATTTGTAGAAAAGACAGATCCTAGGTTTCTCTCCTAGATCGCTTCCCTTTGCCTCCCTTAGGGATGTTCCGAGCAGAACGAGAGGCAAAGGTCTGTGTCTGATAAAAAATAATTTATAAAAAAAAAAAAAAGGAACCCAAGCAACGAATAGAAGCCGAAGCAATGAGTGGCCCGGGAGGTGCGCTGCCGTCTCTCGGGACGAGCGCCTGGTTCACACGCGACACTGGCGCGCCCGGCCGAGGACTTCCTCGCTTTTCGTTCTAGCGGATTCCCTGAAGTCCTGCACCAGGTAACGCCGGGTTAACCCGGCTCGACTTAATCGCCAGCGCTTCCCCTGGAGACTGGATTGAAGCTAATTTCCCTGAAGAACAACCGCTCATTATTCATTAATTGGAGTCTTAGTACCTGTAATTTAATTGTGAAGCCTAAAGCGTTCATTTTAGGAAAGGGCCAGAGCGTTGGTGACAATTTATTCTGTGCAAACAATGAATGAGGGTAGGCTTCCGGGTGGCCAAGTTTGCCGGTCACACCTGTGAGGTGCCAGCAACTCGTCGCTCTGGTGGGCGGCTTATGGACTTTTTAAAAAATCAATTAATTAATAAGTTTATTTATTTATTTATTTATTTGTTTATTTGTTTATTTTTTAAAGACTTTTTTTAATTTTAATTTTTATTTATTTTTTATTTTATGATAGTCACAGAGAGAGAGAGAGAGAGGCAGAGACACAGGCAGAGGGAGAAGCAGGTGGGATTCGATCCCGGGTCTCCAGGATCGTGCCCTGGGCCAAAGGCAGGCGCCAAACCGCTGCGCCACCCAGGGCTCCCTATTTATTTATTTATTTATTTATTTATTTATTTATTTATTTATTTATTTATTTTTGTGGCTTACGGACTTAAAGGCCAAAGGAGAAATAAGAAGAAATGGGTAGACAGTCGTCCCCCCACCTCCCCCGCCAATGGTCAGGGACCGTGGACCTGAGGGCCGCGCTGAGGACGGCCCGCGCTTACCGAGGAGGAGTATGAGCCCTCGTTTCCACTTGACGCAACAAGAACCATCAACAGGAGAAGCATGCCCAGGCTCCCGGGCCTATCAGCTGCGTGGCGGAGAGGAGGACGCGGGTCCTGGGCTCCCCCGAGCCCCCCGGTGAGAACCAGGGCACGGCAGGTGGAGGGATCGTATCCCCCCAGGAGCTGGGCAGATGCCAGGGCAGCGGAGGCGAGCTTGAGGGGAGCCGGGCCCGCGGCACATGCAGTGTTGGCAGCGGCCATCGGGGGGTGAATGTGATCTGCACCAGCTCGCGGCTCTGCTCGGCTCCGAGGGCAGCGAGCCAGGGGGCTCCGTCGTGCACAGGACGCGGGTGTCCTCCTGTCCTTCCAAGAACACGAGGGACTGTAAACCCAATGACACAAGCTCAAGGAGAAGCTCCCACCACGGGGCAGATGGACGTACGGGGCCCGGCTGGTTGATGGACGCACAGAGACCCGGGTTCGGGGGCCCGGCAGGAGGTAAAACTGGTTCCCGTCCGCCGTCAGGGACCCCGAAGAATTGAGTGGGGGCCTGACCATGTCACGCTCTGGATCCCCAGACTCCTTAATGATTCTCAAACTTATAATTTGCAATAAATCAGACAAATTTAGCCTAAAGCAGTTGGAGTTAGTAAGACTTTCATAGACGTGCGCAGTCCCTTCAGCCTCAGCTTGTCTTCTCACCCCCCCCCCCGCCCACCTCCTCCCTTTGGCCAGTCATTGGAAGGGAGCGGTGCATGAACACAAGCCCAGCCTCCCTCCCTTTGACTGTCCTTTGGGGCCCTGCCCCTGCCCCCATGACCACGTCCATCCTCCAGCCGTGGGCAGGGGCCTGGCAGGGTGCAGAGAGGAGAGGCTGGGTGGCCTGCACGGAAGTGACGGCGTCTGACCCCAGTCACACCGACCTATTCACCTCCCCCCTGCAGGGCTCCTGGGACCGTCATGCCAGAGGAGAGGCAGGGGTTAGGGACGGGAGACCCACAAATTCCCATCCATCACCCTTCGAGCTGGCTGTGGGATGAGAGCTGGGCACAGGGCGTGCCCGTGGATGGAAGGGAACGGGCCCTGGGGTTTAAGGTGGAGCTCACACACCCGGTGCACGGTCTACGGTCTAGTGTCCACGAACCAGGGGGGCCCCCAGTGCCGGCCGGGCCCTTCTCCAGGTCTCGAGGCGTCCGTGGGTCTGGCCTTCACCCACCCCGTGGGCCACACCCAGCAGCCTTCATAAGGAGCCGGGCTCCCAGCGGCTGGTGGGACCAGCAAGGTGCTGCCTCAGCTGCTCTCGGAGCCCCACCAGGTGCAGGCCCTGGGAGGCCCCCACCCCGGGGCTGTGTCTACACCACCGAGGGGAGCGGCCGGGCTGGCGGGCGCCCCCCCCCAACATCAACACAGGACGCTCTCCTAGCACCCAGTCTTTATTCATTTTTTAAAAAAGAAATCCAAATAAGTTAGCAAAAAAAAAATTACAAAACAATGTCAAAACCACACGATGCTTAGTTAAGAAAGGAAATCACCCAAGACCCCTGCCCCCCTCCCTGCCTGTCCCTGGCAACTCGTACACAGGAGACCTTGGTCAGATGGCAGCTTCACAAACACAAGACATGAAACCACTGGAAGTTTCCCAGGATTCACTGCAAAGCTTGCCCCCCCCCCGGGACCCGGGAGCAGGATCGTCCCCCTCCCTTGTCTCCCAGTGCAGGGCAGGCCCAGCCCAGCCGCTGGCATCGGGAGGGACAAGCGCGGGAGGCGCACAGCTCGTCCTGGTCAGGACCCACTCGCTCGCCTCTCGCGGTCTCTGTCGAGGGGGGAGGTGGAGCATCAAGAACAACGGGGAGCTCCTGAGTCTGGCCCCTGACCTGGGGCACACACGGGGCACACGAGGGGCCCTCTGGTCCCTGCTTATCTCCCTGGAGACAGGCTGCTCCTTGCCGTAAGGAGTCAGCTGGGAGAGCGGCCACCCCTCTGGGGGGGGTGACTTGGCTTTATATGGATGGGGGGGGAGACTGGCGCTTGGCAGCCCCGGGCTGGCTCTCTGGCATCAGGACAGCCCGGCTTAGGAAGGCGTCTGCGGCCAGCGGGGGGGGGGGGGGGGGGGGGGACTCTCACGGGCGCCCTCAGTTGGGCATGGCTTCATCCGGAAAGGCCGCAGAGACGTCTTCCACCGTGATGCTGTCCACGATGGACGTGAGAGAGTGCAGGTTGTGGGCGTCCGAGGGGTCGGCGGCAAGCAAGTGGTCTGCGGGGAGACGGGAGGGTGTTACCCGGGGGTGACGGGGCCCTCGGAGTGGCACGGGCGCTCCGGGATGGCGGCTGGGTGGGAGCCGGGGCTCCTGCTCCCCAGGCCCTGCCTTTCCCGGGCAAGGTGGGGGGAAGGGGGTGTGGGTGCGGGTGTGTATCCGTGTGCCCGCTGAGCACGCGCCCCCTTCGTGACCTCCCCGCTGGTGTGAGTGGAGCCGCCTGTGCACCCCGGGGCCCGCCGGGCATGGAGCTCCCCGGCTCCTGGGCCTCGGGAGGCGGCCTCGGCAGGGAGAGGCCTGGGGAGGGAAGTGAGGCAGAGGCCTGGGCTGAGGGGTGTGGGGCTCACTCACCCCCGGGGCTGGGGCCGAACTCCAGGGTGCTGCCCCACTCGGGGCTGCAGGAGGCGCTGTGGGAGCTGCAGTCACTGGGCACCTGCAGGACGCGAAGCCCGAGGTCAGAGCGTGGCCACTGCAGGCGTCCCTCCGTCCCTCCGTCCCTCCGTCCCTCCGTTGCCGCCGCGGGGTGGGGGGTGGGCCCCAGGGCCTCGTTGGAGACGGTGCCCCCGCTGGCCACACGCCCCCTGCGTCCGGGCCTTTCCTGAGCCCCGTCTCCGGCCGTGGCCCTGTCCTCCCAGGCCACCCAGTCGAAGGGGTCCCTGGTTTTCCCAAGCCTCAGAGGTGAGGGACTCGGCTGCAGCGAGCGGGGCGCTGGGCCACACGCCCCCTTCACCCTTGCCCCCACCCAGGCCGGCTCTGGACTCGCCCTGGCCTCCCTCCTGCCGCCTCCCCCCACCTCCGCGTCCCCCCGCCACCCTCAGCTTGGCCCGAAGGACAAAGGGACACGGGTCAGCTGGGCAGCTCGGCTCTGCCGAGGAGCTCCCACCGTGTCTAGGCCCCCCCCCGGCGCCTGCTGCAGCCCCCCCCCCCCGGCCCCGCGCGGGCACCGGCCTCCCGCCCCCCGGGCAGCTGCGAGGGACCGGCGGCCACTCACCCCCGGCTGGGGCCCGCCCCCGCCCCGGTAGCGGAGGTCCCGCTCCTCCTGGTTGAGGGAGCTGAGCAGGGCCTGCAGGCGCTCGATGTACTGGATGGCGCTGCGCAGGATCTCCACCTTGGGCAGCCGCTGGTTGGGGTTGAGCAGGGTGCTCCTCTTCAGGGCCTCGAAGGCCTCGTTCACTTTCTTGAGCCTGCGCTTCTCCCTCAGCGTGGCCGCGCGCCGCCGGTCCACCGACACCGACTTCCTCTTACACACCTTGCACGCCCACGGCAGGCACTGGCCCAGGCAGTGCTCGGGGGTCCCCAGCCCCTTGTCTTCGAGGGGCCCCCGGGCCTCGGGGCTCAGGCTGAGCTCAGTCCGCTCGTAGCCCGGCGGCTCGAAGGCCTGCAGGTGGACGGGCAGGTAGCTCTCCCCGTCATAGAAGTGGGGCTCCTGGTAGAAGTAGGGGGACGTCTCATAGAGCTCCATGGGGTCGGAAAGGACCTGCTCCTGCCACCGGCCCCCAAGCTCCTGCAGCCCCTCACGCCAACTGCTGGGTGCCATTTAAACCCTCCCCGCTGGCATGGAACCAGAGATAAATATAGCCGATGCCGCAGAAACCTGAGCCCCCCCTAAGCTGTTGCTGCACATCAAGACGTTTACAGTGGATTAGATGTGATTCCCCTGCCCTCTCCCCAGCCCCCGCCCGGCCAGCCCGCCTGCCCCGGCCCCGGCCGGCTCCTGTGCACCGGGAGGGAGGCCGTCGCTGTAATTCGATTAGTTTTCATTTCTCTGCGGCCCCCGGGGGCAGGGGAGGTGGGGGAGGACACACGCTCCCCTCTCATCTGCTCCTTTCAATTACTCCGGGCTGGGCGGCCCGCCTGCCGCGTCCCTGCCAGCCCCAGAGGAGTGGGGTGGGGGCAAGGGGAGGGCACAAGGGGCACGGGGTCGGTTGGAGGGGGCCCGAGGAGTCAGCGGGCCCAGCCCTGGCCCAGGCCCCAGCAGTCGGCAGCAGGAGAGGGCTTCAGATTCGGGGCTCGGGGGGCTCAGTGTCCAGGGATTAGAGGGAACCCGCAGACGCAAGTGGGTTTCCAAAGCGGCCTGGACATCTGACGACCTCAGGTCTCCGGCGAGGGCGGAAGTGGAGGCAGGAAGGACTCCCCGGTCTTTGGGCGAGGACCTTAGGGGTTTCCGTTCCACGCGACTGGTGGGGGGCAGAGCAACATCAGGACTTACAGGCCCCCCCCCCCACCGAGTGAACCCTGTCTTCCCCGTCTGTCCCTCTGGCACAGGGCGGCCTTTTGGGTTTGGGGCGGCAATGTGCCCCCTTCTTCATTCTTTGGTCCCACTCTTTTCCCTAGAAACCCTTGGACTAAGTCTGATCCCCCCTCCACTTGACATCTGAGATTGAGGCTAGAAGTTCCAACCGGGGTAAGGACAGTACGGGGAGGAGAAATGGCGCTGGGGACTCAGAGATGACCCCCCCGGGGGAGGCGGGACCCAGTGGAGCCCGAGGGACCCGGCTTCCCCGCCGCTCACGGTCCATGGTGAGGAGCCGGGAAAAGGCTGGCGTCCGTCTGGGACAGGGAACAGAGATGAGGCGGGGTTGCCACTGGGCATTGCAAACCCCCATGCATGTTGAAGGGTGCGGGGGTTCTTCACTGGGTTCTTGGCCTTCCCAGGGCGGCCGCTCGGGGGCTCTGGGTTCCAACCACGCTTCGGCCAGCTGGGCTGAGGGAGGATTGCTGTTTCTAACACGCATCCCACCAAGCAAGGGAAAAAGAAAAACCTTGCCTCAGTTTACACTGCATCCCTATGAGCCCCGAGAGGAGAAGGGATGTTGAAGTTACTATGGAAACGGACACATTGCATCGTTTCGTGCTTCTGGGATGCAATCTGCCTTGCCCCTCGGCGGTGCGTTCGCACCCTCTAAAAAAGGAAGCAGGGAAGCTGGGTTTGTTCTGATTTCTAGGATCTTTACTCTCTAGTTGGCGAGCGTGGACTCCGACACGCGGATGGTGAATCGCAGTGTAAGAGGGAGCTGTTTTAACGCAGCAGGAAGCATGGGGGCCGGGATCGATGACAAACGGGTGGGCTCGCCAACCGGGCGCTTCAGTCTAGAGAAAGTCATAACCGCCGAAGTCGGGGTCTCTGTGGAGGCGGAGGCTTGCAGAGGAGCGGGCAGCCGGACTGGACAGCAGGTGGGATTTCGGGGGCAGGAGCCGAGGGGCGGGGGCTCGGGGAGAGGGTTTGGACGGCCCGGGGTCCGGATGGGTTTGTGAAGGTGGGGGTGGGCCACCGGGCTCCGGGGGGCTTGACGCTGCGCAGAGAGCTCGGTGCCCTCAGCCCGGGGCGAGGGTCGGAGCAGCCCGGTCAGCGGGCGGCTGGGCGCCGCCAGGAGGGTGCACGTCAGCTGGCAGGGGGGTGGCGGGGCGAGCAGCGAGCGTGATGGGAGGACGCTCACTGTCATCGCGGTAAGGCGAGGGCACCCTACCGAAACCCAGACGTAACCCAGAGGAAGCATTTGTCGGCCTCCCCCTTCCCCGGGTGGACCCAGTTTCCCAGGAGCCCCTCCGTGCCAGTCCCCGGGATTGGGTCCAGTCCTCCTGCCGTCAGGCCGGGCTGTGAGTGTGGCCTCGTGCGTGTGTAACGTTCGCTTCGAACGAAAGCTGAGGGCAGGGCTGGGAGGCTGGGGCCATCTCACGTGTCTGGGTTTCACGGAATCCCCGTCCGTCCATGTGTTTGTGTATCTCTGTCCGAGCGAGTGGCCCGAGGCCCGCGTCCGGGCGCAGCTGTGGGGCATGGAGCCTCCCAGGGGGGAGGGCATCCCTGACCTCGACGCCCTCGTGGGGGGCTTGCTCCTCCACCCGCCGTGTTCCTCTTTCCTGGCTGAAGCGCGGCGCAGCGTGCCTAGGGCTTTGGCCTCCCTCCCCTGCACAGTCGTCCGCCCCACGCAGGCTGCCCTCTGATGGATGGGAACACATTGGTGCCAAGCACAGAACAGCCTTTGTGCTCCGCCACCAGCGGTGATCCATCAGCTCTAACCTGACAGCGGGGCGTCGGGCCCTAATCCCCACCCCTGCCGGCTTGGGCACACGGGGCCCCTGCCCGACCAGGAGCCTCCCCCAGCCGTCCTGCTCCCTCCAGAGGAGGCCCTTGCCCGGTTGTGCTCCAGAGCACGCTGGTCCGTCTCCACTCCATTCGGTCCATTTGCATGCTGGGCTGAGCTCATTTGCATGGCGGTCCTTGGGTTTCAAAATGCCCCAAACCCCCTTCACTGCCCAGCCTGCCCTTCCTTCCACCTCGGCTACACACCGAGCCCTCCTCCCTGACTCCTGGTCTCTTCCCGTCCCTGCCACCTCACAGGTGGGCTGACCGGGGCCACCACGTCACTTGGTCAACATCAAAGCAAGTTTGCCCATCTGGAGTTTCAAGTGTCTGGCAATGGAGAAGCAAAAAGAAGAGTCTGGAAAGGGTGGGGGCCTCTGGGTTCTCCACACAGGCCCCACCTTTTGTTTTCTTAGCCTGGGTCTCTGGGTGTTGTAGATGAGAACTAGGTGGGGCTTAGGTGGCAGCAATGTGTGCACGTGTCAAGGACCTAGACGCATGTGCATGTGGCGAACAAATCAGCTTATTTGAGGATTTGGGGAGCAGTAGCCTGGCAGCAGGGTGAGGGCCCATCACAGGACCGGAGGATGTCAGAGCTGGGGGGCAGCCCAAGGGTTACTGGTCCACCTTCCCTCTACACACCGGGAGACTGCGGCCCAGAGTCCGAGCATGCGATTTGCCCCAGGGGCACGGAGCACTGGTGTCAGAGGTGTGAAGGCGGTTGGCTCTTGCACTGCCTGACTTTAGGCCTTGGGGCTGAATCCAGGTGTCTCCTCTCCCTGCGTGAGGCTGACACGTGAGGAACATGCTTCATGCGAGCACGTGCTTTCCAGGTGGGAGGCTGGGGGCGGACTGGAGGTGCTCTAGGCTTCGAGCGGAGAGTCATGGAGATGTGGAGAGATGAAGACAGGAGAGAGGGTGAGAGTCACTGGGCCATGGAGATGAGGAAGTCTAGGGGTTTGAGACAGGAGGAGAGGTCTCGAGGCAGATGGGAGCCCCAGCTGAGAGGTGAGGTGCAGGGGCCCTAGGCCTCCGGAGGCCGCACATTGTTTCCACTGAGGACGGAGCATCAGATAACCACTGGGAAATCCGTCCCTGCCTGGAATCTGGAGCTCAGAGCCAGGCTCATTCATCAAGAATCTCTGGCTTTGGGGTGGGGGAAGGTGTGGGCCTGGAGGCGGAAGGGAGTGGGTCCCCAGGGGGTGGGGGTCACGGGGAGGTGATTGGTGGACGCAAAGCTCGGAGCTCGGTTTAAAAATAACCAGACCAGGTTTCAGCAGTGTGTGGCCGTGTGAACCCGGGGGCCTTTGGAAATATGGGTGAAGATTTGTTATGAGTAATCCATATTCCTGTGTGAGCTGCGCCCTCAGCTCTGGATTTTTTTTTTAATTTATTTATTTATGATAGTCAGAGAGAGAGAGAGAGAGAGAGAGAGAGAGAGAAGCAGGCTCCATGCACCGGGAGCCCGATGTGGGATTCGATCCTGGGTCTCCAGGATCACGCCCTGGGCCAAAGGCAGGCGCCAAACCGCTGCGCCACCCAGGGATCTCCTCAGCTCTGGATTAAAACAAATACTGTGAGGAAGTTAAGGGCAAGTGGAAGAAGGAACCCTGGATGAGGAGTCGGAGCATGTGGCTGTCGTGTCTCCCCTCTGGGTCTCAGTTTCCCTGTTTGCAAATCACGATGCTGATCTGAATGATCCAAATGGCCCTTTGAGGGTAACATTCCTTTTCTGACTCAGCATGTGGGTCTGGAGGAAGTGCTCATAGGGTCAGAGTAGGACTGTTCGGAGAGTTGTTTTTGGACCAGGCCCGGTCCTAAAGAATGGACTTGTAGGATTAGAAAGGGCAGGTTTCCTGGAATCTGTCTGTCCCTTTCCCATATCCACGGCTGCTCCCAGACTTCATCTCACTGAAAGGTGACCACATGGTCCTCTGGACTCATTTCAGCCTCTAGAACTACCTGGCATGTATTTGTCACACTTGCCCTCAGACTTACCCCCCTCCTAGCCCCTACCCTCTAGCACCCCCCATCCTGCCCTCCATGTGGGTTCAGAAGCCTTCGGCCCTCCCTGTGGGTTCAGAAGCTGCCCCACCCCCCTCCACTCCATGGACAGCTTCTATTTCTGCCTCTTTGACAAGTTGTGACATATTTGGGAGCAGCTGCTGCCTGGGTGGAGATGCCTTTGCTTTTCTCCTGGCTCTGTCTTCTCCTCCCCAATACCTCTCCCAGCAGCCACCCTTTCCCAGAATGTGCTGGAAGACCCTCCCTGCATTCCCCTCTCGGAACTCAGACATCCAGCTTTTCCTACGTTTCTACAGGAGTGGCCCAGGCTCTAGACTGATACAAAGGGAGCCTCCTGGGATAGAAAGTCGGGTGGTTGGGCATAGGGTTAGGATCTCTTCCGCCAAGTC